TGAGATCCATGTAATACCAAGTCCAGGCCAGGAAATCTTTAACGTTTTACATAAATATATTGACTTGGCCATCGCATGAAAACACGTGTAAATTAAATTATTTAGTGCGATGGCCAAGTCAATAATTTATGTAAAACGTTAAAGATTTCCTGGCCTGGACTTGGTATTACATGGATCTGGATCAATATTTCGGATCGTTAAAGAATGACTACTTTGCTTCTCGTTTTTGTTTGAGATTGCGGAAAGTCTTGCTTACGCATTAGTTGTTACATAGACAATTTTAGAAAAAATTAAAACCTCTGGATGCGGCCATCGCAAGACCGGTCGTTGTGGAAATCCTTGGGAGGCCTTTGACCAGCAGTAGACGTAATTTTTTGACTGAAACGAACGAACGATTGCATTTGAAATTGTATTATCGGATTGAGATGAGATTTATATCATCACATGAATCAGAAATTGCGACGACCATAACAAGACAGAAGAGCAAGAATGTATCGCGTTGGCACCGAGCCACGGAGTGGGATACCGGAAAATATCATTTAGTTTGCACTTTGTCGAATCTTTCATTGATGTTTTTATTGAGAGGATAATTATAAATTGTTTATCGCTTTTGCTAAGTAGGTAGAGGTACCTACTACCTACTCTTATTTGGCACTTTTTGGTAAAAAAATAAGGGATTTATGATGACAAAAAAACGTACAACACTAACCTACAACCACTAATTCATTTCGCCTGCGCACAAATTGATCAGCCTGTACAGATGACTCATGATTATTAAAAATTGCACCTATTATTAACTATAAAATGTTATGTTCGAGCTCTGGAGACATAATTACAACAAATAACCCAAAATTAGCAGATAATAGCAGTTCTTCTAACAACGTTCCTTCATCAAACGACTTTTTTGGCAGAGATCTAACTTTAATTGACTACTTATGTAATTGCTTTTAATATGTACAATGAAGGCCCAATTTACTGGTTATACAATATAATGAGGGCTGAATTAACATCAAGGGAGAGAGTAGCCCCGCTGGTTTATAGTTCGCTCTCCAGACTGCGGAGCAAACTTTGGGACTGTGATTTTAAGATCAAGTCAATCAAAAATGTCTTTGTCTGGACTAATTAAAATACATACTTGCAAATCGTCAATTTCCCTTATGTTAACGGATTTAATAGAGAACGCCTTGTCACCTTGTAGCTCTACTCTTTAAAGCGGCATGTATTCGGTTTGTTGCTAAACTAATGCAGTTTCTCCATTAAGATCCAGTAAGATTAAACGACAGGGCAAAGTAGTAAGCAGCGGTTGAAAAGAACCGGTCCTGGGATACGGACTCAGTGTCGTGCATTATAGAAGGCCCCTTAGTCAGTCAACTGACGTAGACTGAGAATCGCTTTTAGAAGACTATGGGTAATTTATATTTTAGCCAAGTACTAGTAGATATTGTTCTGTCCATCAAATACACGTGTCGTATTATAAACATACGTAGGTACAAAGAGTTTGCAATACATATATACGTAGTTTGCAAAAAAGTGAATAGGTAACAAGTTGCAAAATTCAATCCACCTTACAAATAAAACTAGTTGAACTAGTTGTTTAGTGACATTTAGTATGGAAATACATACAGGGTGTCCCAAAAAGTAGTGCGGAACATACATGGGGGTGATTTGGATAGCCCTAGTGATGCTCTACCTCTGGGCTTCGGCTTGACACTACTTTTTGGGACTCTAATTTTAAACAAGTGTTCAACATGCGTGTTGTAGTAACGTTTTGTCAGTCAGTAAAGACTCTCTTCATATTTACATACTTAGTTTAATCAACGTCGCTCCCGCTGTCTGTTCGCTTAGTTAGATCTTTCAAACTACGCAACGAATTTTAATATAGTTTTCAGCAATAGAGGAGTGATTCAAGAGGAAGGTTTCTATGTATAATATCACTCGTGCTAACCTGGTGCGGGTCGCTAGTCGGAGAAGTAACATAAGTTGCTTTTTATTCTATTTCAACATAAAATTGCGACCCAAAACCTATTACGTATTCCGCTGCTGTATTCCTATTTCTGTAATAACGTAAGTTATAAATGAAGCGAGATACGCGGAAGCGATGGTCACATAATCAATATTAGATTAGAAGACCTATGAGCGCAGTTATTATGGCGCACAAAGAAAGGGCTTTCGTGACGTCAATCAGTCAGTAAGAAGGGCAACACATACAATAAAAGAATGGCTAGCTTATTAGAATGCAAAAAAAACAAATATGTACAAAACTTAATACAGTTTTCCCACCAGGGTTACTGCAATAATTTTGTTTGGACTTAAATAATAATAGATACCTATTTCAGTGCAGTTTTTTTTTTATTTACTGTGTTATGAAATATTAATTACAATAAAATGGCATAAACTGAAAATACTATCATAATGACGACAAAAATGGTGCCAAAACTCCACTTAATGCAGAACACACCCTTTGTTATTGACTTTTCAAAATTGTCAGTACAAAATTAACTGAATCAGTGGCTTGAGTAACCAAGTAATTTTCAATAAACTTTTGGTACATACCTGCATGTCTTCACAAGTCCATTATACAGGGTGTTACTTTGCATTCTTGCCATATTTACAGAGGTTACTATATTACTGATACTGAACACAAATCCGTAAAAAAATAATGCCCGAAAAAATTTTTTTTTAATCTTCTGTATTTTATTTTATCGACAATCTGTTAAACACACCACTAATTATCGTAACGCATGCACATCACTTGTTGGCGATGGCGATGGAGACTTTTTTACTTTTTATTGTATTTTTAAATATCTATTGCAATCTATTGTCTTTAAAATGTCTTTTTGACACTTGTAAAAAACTGAGAAATCCATCAAACACAAATCACGTTATAAATAATACAAAAATGACTGAAGTGTATTCAAACAACGAATAATGTAATCAAAATGGTGCTTGGAGTGTCTGCAAGACGTCTTAGACGAAATGCTTGATGACGTACTCTTAGCGTTACACCAAATGCTCTACTACCAGCAGGATGGTGCTCCCCCACAATAAGGACGTCAAGTGCGCGAATAATACGTTTGGTGAACAGTGGATTGGACGAGGGGTCCAGTAGCTTGGCCACCACGATCCTCGGACCTGACACCAATGGATTTTTGGAGTGACTTGAAACGACTGGTATGCGCAGAAGAGATAACATCATCAAGGCGCTGGCCAGCAAGTGAGTATACAGGCCACTGCTGGACTAATACAGTCCACTGCTGGACTAGACACAGATCATATCAGCAGCCGCGGAGTACTCCGACCTGTGCATCCGGCACCGCGAGGAGAACATCATCAAGGCGCTGGCCAGCAAGTGAGTATACAGGCCACTGCTGGACTAATACAGTCCACTGCTGGACTAGACACAGATCATATCAGCAGCCGCGGAGTACTCCGACCTGTGCATCCGGCACCGCGAGGAGAACATCATCAAGGCGCTGGCCAGCACGGGAGTGCAGGCCACTGCTGGACTAAAACGTTTATGTGTTGCGAAAACTAAAGCGAAAAACCTACGCTTCGCCGTGCTAGACTGTGCCTTCATGAGAACGGAGGACACTTTGAACACTTGCTTCGCAGTACGTAAAATTGGTAAGTAGGAACTTATGAATAAATAATCAATTGTGAATGAGGTGATTTCATTTCATACTTAATTTATTAATTTGTAAAAATAGGGTACAATGTTGTAAATTAATTGTCGGTCCTAATCCCGTAAAGTAGAAAGGAAAATCTGAAATCAACTGAAGAGTATTTTAAAATACTTATTATGACTGGATAAAAAGGCTGGTACCCAAAGCCATAAAATTAAGAACTAGGCCACGCCCACTAGGTTTATTCCACTTGCACCTGTAGAATGTGCGAGACAAAATTGGTTTATTCCAATTTGTACTAAAAAACCAAATTTACTAAAATCTTAGTGTACTTTCTTTATGGGAGTCTCTTGTTTATCTTAAATAATAGGTATTGTTCCCTACTTTTATCTCTGTGAATATGGCAAGAATGCAAAGTAACACGGTGTATTTTTCTTAAAAAGTTAAATTGATTCATCATTATATTGAAATACAGGTAATTAGCAATTAGTTATATGTATGTAGATAAATAAATACTTCAAAAGTAGAATCACTAGCCATGAGAATTATCAATAAATTAAAATTACACAACCTATCATACTAATTTCAACAGAGAAAATTTATAATCACAATAGGGAACAAGCAAACACAAGAAACAATTAACGCATGCACACATTCACATAAACCCACACACACAATATCTCATACTCACACAACTTTTGGTACTAATTAATTTGGTGTTAAAAAGTAAAAAATCATGTAAATTTTTATTTTATTTTCTTATTATGTAAAGCTGATCGAAAGAGTGGGCATCTCCTAATACAGGTTATTTAAACTTAAAAGGAGACTCCCAACCCCTGTAAATGTGTCTTATAAGAAAATAAAGATTTTTGAATTTAATATTATAAAGTGACAAGATTTGTAACTGTTCTGGTTTGATTTAAAACATTGTTATTTCCTAAAGTAAAATCCCTGAGTAAAATAGGTTATTGCAGATCAAAATTCGACCGAGGAAAAGCTAGTTATATTATCGGGTTATAAACTGCTGGAACTAGGTTGTAATTAATAAAATAAGGAGATTATGTATTTGTTTTTTTATTTTGCCTTTATAGTTTTTGATTTTTATAAGTGTTTAAAATTGAATCTCATGTCTCACCAATGTTATTATTATTCTGTCTAATAATGAGTTGTAATAAAAAGTACAATTATTCTGCAACTTAGGGAGGCCCAAAGCAAATTCAATAATTTTAATAATTATTTTTACATCTTGGCAAGGTCTTTCTATACCAGACCATACCCAAACTCATCAGTCCTAGAAAATTAAAAGATAAAATGGGTTCTTTAGAATTATGCCAATTTTACTTCAAGTTTTAATAAATATTAAAAAAATTAACTCACCTTGTTAATTTACTCGGGGAACACCTCAAATTGTTGACTGAGAAATCACTTCTTGTCGAGACAATTTAAATGTCAGAATGGTATTCACTTTGTAGTAGAATAATTTAGATGAGTAGATTTTTAGATTTAAATTAATAATTTGGTTAATTAATCCAAAATTATCCACGTAAAATCACGGAAAATTAAATTTTACGGCTAAATTAATACCGAAAATTACCTGTTTGACTTGAATGACGAAATTTCTGTCAAACGTCAGTCAATTCTGTCACTCAAATGTCAGTGTCAACCATGTTTCTTCTTCTTTTTTGATGATGTTGGCAATACACGTCGAGGTCGACTTGATTTGTGCCATTTTTCAAGTATACAGTGTGAGTCACGTTAAAGTGTACATATGGAAATAGATGAAACTNAATTTCTTACTATTTTGTGCACCAAAAAGCGCTTAATACTATAAATTTTACTTTTTATATGAATAATTGTTTTAATTTAATGCCTCTACCTTAAATTGGCAATGTTCACCCCAATGAACAGTTAAAATTCTCCATATATTTGGCAGTGTTCATTGGGATGAACATTGTTTTTTTTTCTATTTGGTGAAGTTCTGATTTTTTATATATTTTTTTCTGACCTATAAATAACCCTAAGAACATAAATCTGACGATGTATTTTTATTTCTTGATAAATAATGAGTCTGCCAAATTAAAGGTTATCGCCCAAACACGAATTTGAGGAAATAAAACAAAACCGCTAACATGACGCTTCAGATTCCCGCCAAGAAGTCCTCAACCATGTTTATCCCTTATTCGGGGAAATAATTTCCCACTTAGCCAGGATTGACAATTTTTTTAGCTGAGAAACATCTCTGAAATATTTATATATTCCCTTTAATCTTCATAGCAGATTAAAGGGAATTTTTTCCCACCATGTATCATGTATATACGTAGATGCACAGTCTCCGTTTTTTTTTTATTGAAAATTAATCCAAAAATACTTGAAGCATAAAGAAGTAAGAATAGATCTTACTTTTAAGGGTTAATGCACAGTGGGTCTAGACAAAGTGCAAATTATAATCGCAAACCAGTCGAAAAGTGGTCGAAAAGCCCCTTTTTTGTATGGAGTCTAGGGGGGCAGTGGGTCTAGTCAAAACGCACTTTTTGATCGAATCGAAAATCGAATCCGTCAAAACTCCATACAAAAAAGGGGCTTTTCGACCACTTTTCGACTGGTTTGCGAACGCACTTTTTGATCGAATCGAAAATCGAATCCGTCAAAACTCCATACAAAAAAGGGGCTTTTCGACCACTTTTCGACTGGTTTGCGATTATAATTTGCACTTTGTCTAGACCCACAGGTTAACGCATGTCTTTGTCCGACATTTGAATTAGGAATATAATGTCAATTTGATAGATTGATTGAAAATATTTCACTGACAGGTGCAGAATCCAGATATTTTTCAAAAATGTATTTATAAATGTAAAAATGCCTGCAGAAATTCCATGTACTTGCAGTACCCCAAGTGATTGCCAGGTATGTCATTAATTAACTAATTAACTTATTTAATGTAAGTAAATAACATAAGTAACCAAATCAAATAAATTCTCGTTGATCGAAATTTTGTTTGGGTGCTTATGTGCATAGCATTGCATTCAATTTAAAATACGTGTAAAAAACCCTTTAGGGATTTAAAACCACTCAGACTTTGATGAAGCGACAAAAAGTACACGACACAGCACTCCACTTTGATGGAATTCCATTCCAAAAAAATCCAATATCATGGACCTATAAAAAAAGTCGGACGGATTCTCATCAACAAAATACTGTGACATTAGGATACACCAGCTTGCCTGTACGTACAGGCCGGCACGCACACATTCACACCCTGTTACACCACTTCGAGTGCAAACTTCACACAGTTGACACATTTAAGCAGCGAAAAAACAACACGAATTCGACATGTCTTGTGTGATGAAATTGTGTAAAAACCGTTCTGTTCGAACAAACAAAAATTAAGGAATCACATTTCACAGGCAAAATAATAATCCAATCACTTATTTCCCGACATTAAAATATTGAAATTAATTGAAATCAAACGTCATTCACTCGAAAAAATAATACGTCAAAGACCAGTGTTCTCAGTTATTTACGTGGGAAAATTACCCTAATTTATCATAATAATTGTGTTTTAATGGGATATATTTTCATAGGCAAATTTGATCCTTCCCAAAAATGTGGAACTGCAAAATTCAAATTTTCTTACATTGATTTCAAGTCAGTGTCAGGTTGTATGTTAAAAAAAATCTATCAGAGATAATAATAATATATTGATGATGCATAAGATTATGATTATAGCTAATATACACAAGATTCGTAATTTGTAACTGCGTGAATCATTTTTGATCAACATTATGTACATAACTACATACCCTGACACACTGACTTGCAAACAATGTAAGAAAATTTGAACATTGAAAATTTCGCGCCTACCTCAACGCACCTTTCATCCTTTTAAAATGGCACGGAATAATTCTGTCTACATTTCCAAGTAACATCTGCCGATCTATGTTTTTATTAAAATAAATGGGTAAAATGTTTTGGCTAACATGGCATCCCTAAATTCACTCACACAATAGACAAACGCCAAAATTTTGCGTCACAGTTTTGTTGTAGCGCGAGTTCCGTCCGCCTTTTTTTATAGGTCCATGTCCAATATGTTGTTGAACCGCAACTTTAGAAAAAAAACAATACTTTTTGTCTATGATTTAAGACCCTGCCCCCTGCCTTCCCCTCTCTCTTGATCTTTCTTTTTGTCCTCGATTGTCTTTGGTTTGGTTGATGGAGTGAGTGAAGTGGTGGTTGGTTGAATTTTGGAGTTTTTGTGCTCGCTCGCGCTCGCTCGTGGTATTTAATCGATCGTAATTTAGTTATTGTGCACACATCTAGTTCGTGAAATTAAACACGAACCTAAACGTGTAAAAGACGTATTTGGACTACGTAATATGATTACGGATTTGACTGATGAATTGGATCAAAGCGACAGCGGTATGGAATCACTGATTGCGAGCAAGGATGACACTCCTGAACGTAGACCTGAAGACAGTTTCATAATCCCTTCGGTATGTAGTGTAATTCGACCTCGGCATAAAAAAATTACCATCTGCATTATGTACATTTTCTTCGTAATTGACGTTTATTGCATTATATTTGCAGCTAGGATCATCCCCCAGCGCAGGTACACCAATAGGAACTTTGAAAGAATACGACGATGTGAGTAGCTATTTCATAATGTCAAATTTTATAGCATACTAACCTAAAATAATATAACAACCATCACATTGCAATGTTAAGATTATTAGAGAGGTTATCTGAAATGACTTGTTATTTTAGGAGCCTGATGAAACTCTTTCCGAAAGACTATGGGGATTGACTGAGATGTTTCCGGAGTGTGTCCGGAATGGCACATACACAGTTACTACTACAACTTGGTAAGTATCTTGTGTATTTAATATGTAACTAGCTGACTGCACGCATAGAAAACCCTTATCACCTAAGGATATAAACGATAGTTTATTTACATCCTATTCTCAAACCTACTAAATATACAGTCAAAGTTTTATAATAATCGGTCAAGCCATTTTGGAGAAGTTTTGTGTGGAAAGATACAAACTCTGGCACAAGAATTTTATAATTAGATTCACACACAAAAGGAATGTGACTTATTTTTAACGAATTACTGATATTTGACTAGATTTACCAAGATCAGACAGCTATTTATTATTCAAGCAATTAACTTCTTTACATAGTCATTGTATGTAATTCTAATATTATTACAGATTTTTTAATATCCACACAAACTAAACATTTTTAGATGTCTCTCGAATTCCATTAGCATCTAGTTTAAAAGTAATTATGCAGATGGTTTACTTACAACAAGTGATAATTTGTTCTAAAAGAGAAACAAATATGACTATGCTCTATGCAGTTGCACTTTGGTCAGTGTACATTAGAATCAAATGATTAGGTAACCTGCTTATTCAAATAAAAAGTTTTTAACTGAAGTAAAATGTTATGCACATGAGAAACTTTTATATAGCAATATTACATTGTGTGTTATTTGCAGGTCTGGCGTAAAGTCCTTGTATGGTCTATCCCGCTCAGTCATGTGGATCGTGGCGAGTTCATCCGTAATTCTATTTGCCCCAGTCATCTTTGAGGTAGAGCGAGCACAAGTGGAAGAAATGCAAAAATCACAGCAAAAACAGGTAATATTTTCATATTGATTCAAACTATGTCAAATAGTAGTCAGCAACCTTTTTATTTGCATCTTGGTCTAATGGTTAAATCCTAAAATATAAAATAATAATTATTTATTGGTACATAGTGATAATAATTATGATCTTCACCTTATGAAAAGGTCTTTAGTACAGTCACGGAATGAAAAGGTTCGTCAGTTTTCAAATTGATTCCTTCAACGAATCGCGAGCACATATTACCTTTTGAAACTATGTTACAGAATAATCTCGAGTTAGAGAAAATAATCTTTAACTGTTCGTCAGTAAAGTTCAAAATTATTCAGATCAAAATTGTTTGACGATTTATCTTGTCAAGAAGATTATGATTGATAAACTAAAACCTTCTTGTTGGTTCAACCTTCCATTATTATTTCTATTAAATAAAAAAAACTATTGTCAATTGGTCAATGTCATCATTGCATTGCACTGATGGGATAGAAAAATAAACAAGCAAAACCTTATTCGTTAGCAAACGTCATATTTATTTAAATGTTAGCAGCACTGTTTCTTGCACTGTTATGTTGGCAGGTTTGACTCTTACAGTACCTAGTGCAAGCGAAAACCGACACTAAGGTGACGAACCTTTTCATTCTGCGACTGTACATAAGAGAAGTTGTTGTTTTATTCTTGTATTTCAAGTCTACATGTTTCATTTCAGGTCTTATTGGGAACTAATACTGCCCTGTCCGGTCCAATGCCCAACATGCCACCAATGCCGCGATAAGCCAAAAAATTTAACATAATAATTTACATCCATCTATGTATGACACACTATAGGACACAAAATGTCATCCTAAATGCTTTAATGTTAGTTTTTTAGATTAATTAAATAGGTACTTTTATTGTAATATTTGAAATAATTTTATTGAAGTTTATTATTTCCTGTTAAAAATTCTAGCATGTTCTGAAGATTTCTATTGATCTGTGTACTAATTGCATTTAATTAAGATATCAATCAAATATCAGTCTGCAAGAATTGGAGAGAGAACACAAGCTTATTATCTTTTCTTTGCTTTTACACTACCTATACTCTTTTTATATAAAATAATCGTTTGGTCATTGTTGGTGTAAGTAGGTACCTTATTAATGGAATGTATAGGATAGACATGAAATAAATAGTCATGATAGTTAATAAAAGTACTGTTATAAAATATAAATTTGTTTTATTGCTTGTTTGTTGGTATGTACTTAGATAGGTAAGTTTATGTTCTGAGATTTGGAGTAGTGTTTGGATTAAAATAAGAGTAAATACAAAATTGAATTAACTATGTAAAAAAAGTGCGATCAAGCCAGTGTAAGATTTTAATTCAATTTTATGTATACTAAGAAGAAGAACTACACGATTATTATGACTACTCGCCTAGAACACAAATAGAAATTAAAATGTTTTTTGGCCATGACCATAACGTAGGTAAGCCAAGAGCTATATAGGGGGTGGAGAAATGCAACCGGTAGAAAAAAAAAAAGAAACTACGTGAAGTTAGCTAATGACATAGACAATACCGGTCACGTACCAGAGCCCCGATTACGGTAATTTTTAACGTCAACAATCCAGACACGCTTCTCGATTCTGCGATACGATTGGTCGTTCAACAGCGTACGTCAGCTGTTTTGACCAATCGTATCGCAGAATCACAAACGCGTCTGGATTGTAGACGTTATAAAAGTTACCGTAATCGGGGCTCTGCATTGTGAACATGAAGCTAAAGATAAAAATGGAGGCCAGACTTAGAATACCTACTTGAAGCACAACCTATGTATCACTATCTCGCTCTCTGTGGGCAGGCTCTCTCTTTCTAAGTAGGGTAACCTTTTATTTATTTTTCTCAGGACGACAAAGACTGATTTACGTTTAAACAGTGTGTCTTGATAAAGTGCACTTAATATGATTATGAAAAAAGGTTTTCGATGTTTTTGTTTTAAGATGAATTACAACATTAAGAAAGTGTAAAGGCATCGAAAACTGTGGATATTTGATAGAAAACAGATTTTAATTTGGCAGTTGACAGACGGATTTGGATATGGATTGATTACAGTAAACGGCCGTAGAAAACATTATGCAAAATTAGATAAGTAAGGTCCCACAGAAAGTCCCAGATATATCCTCAATATGGTCATACTACTTCAAAATGTCTTATAGAAACAAAAATTTTAAATTTGCTCAAAGTCAATGAAACTCAATGTAAAATCTTCTTTTTCTTGACATATGTAACATTTAATAATAAGTTTAAATACTGGTAAAACGTTTTAGGAAGTAATTACTGTGAAAATACAAAGAAATATGTTAACAATGATCCACTGTCAGAAATCACGAAATAAACACTTACGCGTGGAATTTTATATCACTTCCAGGACAACACGAACTACCGCAACCACGCACTATACAATTTTGCACCATTTCTTCAGACAAAACAATGATAAGGTCCCTTGAAAAATCTCAAACGAAATCAACTGCATAGTAAACAACCGCCATGATGGGCCGGATTCGGCCGATGTTGCCACATTACCGATACCTCAGAAATTGGGATTGTAATTCCCTGATTCGCCAACACATTAAGCCTAAATGGCCGACAATTTTGTGATTTTTTATTTAACTAGGTAATCTAAGTTTCAAATATTAATTATTTATTTATTTAACTTCTTATTTGGTTAGTGAATTGGCTAATTCGAAGAATTTACAAGGAGATTTAAATAAGAAGATAGCAATACTACAGTTCACACTAAAAAGAGAGGTAGGGCCACAGAGAGCGAGATAGATATAAGTAGGTATTTGACTCAAGTTTTGTTCCCAACTTTGCCCTCCATTTTTATCTGTAGCTTCATGATTGTGAATTACTTTTTTTTTTTGGTTGGTACAATCGTAAATGTCAAAAAGTCTCATCAACTCAGCTGTCAAATTGATCGAGTAAAAGAAGATGAAGTGGAGAAGTTTCTGTATTTCTGATAATAAACTTGTATAAACATGGCAAACACAGGGTTATTGCCATTTGTTCGTGGCGTTGATTTCACTAGTAACGATTTCAGCGTAAGTGCTATCTCAATAAACTAAATGAATTCACATTTACACTAAAGAAAGATGATATCATACCTCTAACCTCTGTTTACTATTTTTAATTTATTGGCCTAAATGTTTTGTTTCAGGATGAAAAATTCCCAGATGCTATTAGATATATGACTGGCCTGCAATGGCTTAGATTGGACAAAACTAATTTGACAGACATACCTGAAGAATTAGGAAAGCTAATGAAATTGGTAAACATTCTTTGTCATTAATAAATTGAGACAGATTATCAAGAGCAATAAAAGTTTAATGCTTCCGTGATACAAATTGTAGTTCATCAGTAATTATTAGGGCAGTAATTACTAATTAACTATAATTTATTATAACACTACATACAATAGCTTGACCCTAATCTTGCTACAACAAGCTTCCTTAATTGATTATTAATTCTGTGAGGAAGTTATGTTAAAATGATGCCACCCATTGACTGTACCTTTTAATATTACAGGAAAATTTGTCATTAAAAAAGAATAGCTTGGAGAAATTGTTTGGAGAATTGACAGAGCTAAAATGTTTGCGCTCATTGAATGTGAGACACAACAAAGTGAAAAGCTCTGGGATTCCCGCAGAGTTGTTCCGCCTGGAAGAACTCACCACCCTAGATCTATCTCACAATAGATTAAAGGAAGTACCTGAAGGACTTGAAAAGGCTAAATCATTGTTGGTTTTGAACCTTAGTCACAATATGTGAGTACTTATAATATTTTATTTTATTTTACAAGGAAAACAATACAGTGTATATACTATGTAGACAAATGTTTTAGGAAACTTTTAACCATTAACATGTTTCACATTATAGCTAAGTACCTAATGCTTGTTTGTTATGTACCTTATATTAGTTTTACCTTTATAAAAGTGTTTTTGTTGCCAAATCCCATGATAGTGATAATTTATATGTGAGTACATTTTATTTATGTTATCATCAAACTATACAGCTATCGCCGAACCTTAAAACTCTTGTTCCACTGATTACAGCAATAATAAAGGAATATTTTGTAATTATCACAGCTGAGGCTGAAATAATAGTAGCCAGCTTATTTACTCTGCTAAAACACTTTTATACCTGACATCAAAATCATAATTAATAGTTAAAATAATATAATCCTGTAAAAATATTGAGTTTTTGAGTTATACAAAGTTTCATTGTTTCAATATAAAGGCATAATATCTGTTTCCCAATAAGAATTTACGTATTGATCAGTGTCATTTTAAATTTTGACAACATATTTACACTCGCAATACTTCATTCCTTCTTTTCCAGGATCGAAAGCATACCACCGACTCTATTTGTACAACTGACAGATTTGTTGTTTCTGGATTTATCTAACAACCGCCTGGAGACTCTGCCACCTCAGACCAGAAGGCTGGCTAACCTGCAGACTCTAATCCTCAATGACAATCCACTGGGCCTATTCCAGCTTAGGTAATACTTTAAAATTATTTTTTGGATATCATTATTACTCCATAATTGATAAACTGTGACATTAAATATTATTTTATTATGTATTCAGTATATTTGTAGAAGGTATATTCTAATATTTAAGTTGAACTCTTCCCTACTATTTACTGAAATTTTAAGTAACATTAAACAAATAAACATTAATTATTGAGGCATTACTATTAATGCCTTTGTTTCTTGTAGTATAATATTTATTAAACAGTTAGTCAAATAAATACATGTAATCGAAAAATAGCAATAAAATGTAATAAATCAATTAATTAATGGTAGATGTTTATGAATGTATGTGATCCTTATTTTAATTTATATACTCAATTTCGTTTTAATCATTTTATACAGGGTGTCCCGTAATGTAACGTCAAGCCGGAACTGGGTGTTGAGGCAAGTTATGCTGGTTATCAGAAAAATATAAAAAAAAATCTATGTGGCATATTTTCAAAATAATGGGCATTTAAAAAAAATCAAAAATTTCTACTCTAGATGACGGTCTTTTTACTCGTGTTGCCACAAATCTTCACTTTTTCCAAATTTTTTTTTTGTTATGTAACCCTGAATAATGCTTCTCTAAATTGTTATCAAAATAACAAAACCAGCTGCTCCAGCTTGGATAAAAAAAATACATTATTCCCAAAAAAATTTTCAAAATAAAAATTTTGTCTCGTTTAAACTGACTGTACTGAAAAAAAAAAGTACTACGCAAGTGTGGCATGTGACGTCATAATTAGGCGCATTTAGTAAGGATTCCAAAATGGTATAACACTTGGTAAATTCTTGCTGCATTTGTCGACAATTTTTGGTTTTTTGGAAATAATCCCGTTTTTAACTTTATCTACCTTGGTTAAAAATTATTATTCTAATGTGCCCAAAATTCAAGTTTCTGTGACTGACTACCGTACAGTCAGTCACAGAAACTTTTGTCACCATGACAGTAATTAGTAGTTGACATACTGTGACAAAAGTCACCCGTGCGTGCGCGCCGTTACTACCTGCTCTGCCTGCACTTGTACTTGGTAACAGGGATAATAAGGATATGAAGTTTCGGTTATGGATACGGTTACGGATATTAGAATAATATTATACCGGTTTCGGTTACGGTCACGGATATAAAATCATTTCAGATTATCCGAAAGTTTCGGATAATTTCGGTTACGGAATTATTAGAATTTCAAAAATGTAGGTATAATTCAAATAGCAAGATGCTGCGTGACCCACATAGCTACTTTATGTACCAACTAAGACGACACCTATGTATGATAAAGGTTAAACAGGCTGGCATATTAGATGGTGCCAGGGAATGCCAGACAAGTTGGTAACAAATATTAAGATTTAAGGTACAATTCCAAGACGGGCCGCAGACCGCAAACTGCAAAACTCTATGAAATCGGCAGCGCGGCATTGCTGCTGCGGCGTGTATACTGCAGATTTCATAGAGTTTTGCAGTTTGGAATAATTGTACCCTTAGACTCCGCCTTTATCCGAAACTATCCGTAACTTTTGAATCAGTTTCGGTTACGGTTATGGATATTTTTTTATTTCGGATATCCGATAGTTTCGGTTACGGTTACGGATATCCATAACATCCCTGCTTGGTAAGATGGCCCTCTCCGTCCCGCTCATACCTTTTAAAATGGCTTCTCCACCTCATTTAAGCCAGAAACTTGAATTTTGGGCACATTAGAATAATAATTTTTAACCAAGGTAGATAAAGTTAAAAACGGGATTATTTCCAAAAAAACAAAAATTGTCGACAATTACAGCAAGAATTTACCAAGTGTTATACCATTTTGGAATCCTTACTAAATGCGCCAAATTATGACGTCACTTGCCACACTCGCGTAGTTCAATTTTTTTTCAGTACAGTCAGTTTAAACTAGGCAAAATTTTTATTTTGAAAATTTTTTTGGGAAAAATGTATTTTTTTCATCCAAGCTGGAGCAGCTGGTTTTGTAATTTTGATAACAATTTAGAGAAGCATTATTCAGGGTTACATAACAAAAAAAAAATTTGGAAAAAGTGAAGATTTGTGGCAACACGAGTAAAAAGACCGTCACCTGGAGTAAAAATTTTTGATTTTTTTTAAATGCCCATTATTTTGAAAATATGCCACATAGATGTTTTTTTATATTTTTCTGATAACCAGCATAACTTGCCTCAACACCCAGTTCCGGCTTGACGTTACATTACGGGACACCCTGTATACTGCTACTTTCATTTTATTACAACTGCAAGGAAGTGAATTACCAATTTGGTGTTAACTTTCCTATTAATAGGAAGCAAAGAGCCTGTAAAATATTTTAATGCCTGCTCACATGTATAAGCTTAGCAGTAAATTACTTTACTTAATTGTCTCATCCATTTTAATTAAATTAAATGTGCAAAAACATCATATCAATTACAAAACACAGATTTCTTATCAATTTATATCAAATAATGTTCATAATGCATTATTGGACTCACAATTAATTTATAGTTATATTATAAAGATCCTGTATATAAAACTTTTACTACAATTTTGGTAAACCAGAAATAGCATTACAAGCCACATATGATCTTGTGATAGTATCCTAAAAGTTAAATTTTTAATTTTTTAGACAATTACCATCCTTGCAAAGTTTGGAAACGTTACACATGCGCAACACACAGCGCACTGTAGCAAACCTGCCGACCTCTCTGGACACATTGTCCAACCTTTCTGACGTGGACCTGTCCAAAAACGCTTTGACCAAAGTGCCCGACGCATTGTACTCTCTGCAAAGTCTCAAGAGGCTTAACTTGAGTGACAACGAAATCACTGAAGTGTCTTCAGGTAAGTGCCCAGTTAAGCGGATAAGTATAATGTATCTGAGATAGATCAGTTCACTGGAGAACTTTAGCTTCAATTATTTGTTGTGTTTATTACTGTGTTACCTATTGATAGCCCAATAAATAAATTTACGAGTAAGTAGATCTGATTACAATTTAAAATTAATGTACTACCTGAATTGAAATGATTTCGTGCCACCCATCATTTAAGTCTGAAACTATAGCTGTGTGAAACTCAAGAATGGTTTTCTAGTATTTTCGAGATGCAATAGATAGTCTAAAACTATCTCCACTATTTAGATACAGTGAATGACTATCGTTCACGCAATGATTACCATCGACGTGCGAAGTCGTGCATATTTTCACTTAATTACATGGGTACGACAGAGTTATTGTGGTGCGGCGTAATATAAAACAGGCTTCATTACGTTACGAGATTATATGGGAAACACTATATATAAATAAATAAATAAAATAAAAAAAGCTTTTATTTCCACAAGTTTACAATTTTAAATATTAAGTTAGAAGCATTTGTCTTCGCTCTTGTGGCACCCCTGTATGGGCAAAAGCCTCCTCCATTCCGCTCCATTTCTTCCTGTCCTGGGCTAGGTCGAGCCAATTTTCTCCCGCTACTCTCATTATATCATCAGCCCACCTTTCTTTGGGTCTCCCAACATTCCTCTTCCCCTTCGGTCCCTTCCATTCTGTTGATGTTATAGTCCATCTTCTATCTTTGTACCTTGCTAGGTGTCCAGCCCACTGCCATTTTAGTTTTAAAGCTTTTTGGAGGGCATCTGTTAGTTTTGTTTGTTGTCTAATTTTGTTGTTTCTGATTTTTGGAATTTTTCTTATTTTCAGAATGCTCCTCTCCATCGCATGTTGACATGATTCTATTTTTGCTCTATTTTTGGTCTGGTACACCCAAGTAATAATAAACACTATATATAGCGATATGTAATTACAAGACTTGTGCTTTCATTGTTTACTCTTCCCTATTTTTTTCTAGGTAAAAAGTTGTACGAAACTAACGCAATGTTTTTGAATTAATGGTAGTGTGTCTGGTCGAGAAATCACTTGTAAGCTGCATAGAGATCCATTACCTGCATTAATACACACATGAATATAAAGATCAATCTGTATTCTTGTACGCATAATACTGATAATACCCATATCTCGTCCTCGAATCTGGCACTTCTATCCTTTTCGGAGTGAAGTGATAGTGAAAATAATGTTACTTTACACATTTTTAATTGTTTAAGCTTATAATATAAACATTTCACAGCAATGGACATCTGGCAGAAGCTGGAAAGTCTAAACCTATCGCGCAACAAGCTAACCTCGCTCCCGGCGTCTCTGTGCAAGCTGCAGAACCTCAGAAGACTTCACGTGGACGACAACAAACTAGACTTCGAGGGCATTCCCTCTGGCATCGGCAAGTTGGGAAACTTGGAGGTGTTCTCTGCGGCTAATAACTATTTGGAGATGATCCCTGAAGGGCTTTGCAGGTTAGTCATGATCAGGTCATTAGTCTTCACTGAAGAAGCACAACCCTTTAGTTAGAGAGGCAAATGGTGGATTTGGCTCACACTCCCCATGCTGGCCAGACAGTGGCCTAATTCACGTATTTTGACAGTCAAGATCTCGCTGGACGTTCAGAAGTCGTCCCATTGAAAAACAGTTCTAAATCCGTATACACAAGGGTCATTTTGATAGAACGATTACTCGATAGGATCGCAACTCAGTGTTTTGTTGTCGTTGAAGTTTTGTTACGTGAATAAGTTGTAGGTTGCGGATAGGGATTGCAATCCGGTATCATTTTCAATCCGGCCGGATTTCACCGGATTGACGCTAATCCGGCCGGATCCGTCCGGATTGCAAAGTAACTTGGTCTAGTATTTAGTGATTTTTAGTTTTGATAATAGTACATAAAAAGAACAAGAAAATACGTATTTATGGAAAATAAAGTCACTTTTATTGATATTTTTCGGTATTAATTGTAATTTTTGGTAAGTACTAATTTGTACTAATAAAATTATGAAAATTCCAAATAATAAAGTTAGTAATCAGTCTGACTCTCACTTATTGCTGTATGTAAGTATCTGAAAGTACTTAGTAATAATACTATTAAACTCTTATTAATAATCTAGGTACACATACTTAAATCAACAAAACAGTATTTTAAAATTGTACTTATAAATTCAACTTCAGTTCTTTTTAAGAAACAATATGACTCCTAAGAAACAATAAAACAAGAAGCATTTATATTTTGCAAAGGAAAATACAATGTAGTGTCGCGGCACGTCTAGCGATCTGGCAAATGCGCGCGCGCTCGACTTTCCCAGTTCACGTTCGCGTATTTTTTGCTTTACCGGATCCGCCACCGGATCCGGCGCCGACTCACCGGATCCGGTAGGTCCAAAAACACGCCGGATCCGCCGGATTACCGGATCCGCCGGACCGAATTGCAATCCCTAGTTGCGGAGCAGGATTTCAGATTTATATGCTCCGTCACGTCATAATATGTCAATGTTACCCCTCCCGTGCCGCTCCCATACCTCAGGCAATGACTGAATGACTGAGTTAAACGCTGGACCTATAGTTCATCATCATCATCATTTCAGCCATAGGACGTCCACTGCTGAACATAGGCCTCCCCCAATGCTTTCCACGTTGATCGATTGGTAGCGTCCTGCGTCCAGCGCTTCCCTGCTACCTTTACGATGTTGTCGGTCCACCTATAGATATAGTAGGTCCACCTATAGTCGGACCTATAGTTAATTCGGTTGAAATTTGTAATCTTGAGACAAAAGATTGTTTCGACCTAACATGTTAAATTGCTTGCAATCTGATAATTTAAGACTTAACTGATACATATTTTGCTTCGAAATGAGTATTTATCGCATCTATAAAAACTTATCGCTGTTAGATGAATCTAAAAGCATCATGTTTAATTGTTATGTTGCGCTTTACGGTCGAACGTTTATGTTTCTTTATGACTATCTGCAGCGAAAGTGATCGGGTTCATTATCTGAGTTTCTCTTTTATTTACTCCACTAGTATTTAATGTTATGTATGCACATATCAATTAATTGAACACTGTAAAAACGGTTGTAGTGCTTTCGATTTTATTGGTATTAGAACTTGTAATTTTTTATGCGCGTTTATAAACACACTAGACCTAAAATGTTCATGCCTTTATATACTTTCCTCATTAGCAACCGAAAATAGATGAAACAGTATAATTTGGGTAGTCAATTTAGTACATATATTGTCTTCTTTTCTAATCTACAAAATCTACTAAAAAACATTGTTATTAGATACAGATTGATATTGTGCTGTGTACTATCCGTAATAAATAAATAAATAAATAATAGACCTGAGTTGATAGAAGAAAAAATCTTACGAATAAGTCAAGTTGAGAGGCTGAGTTCAGAATGAACGGTTAATAAATAAGCCAATTACGTAAAGTTATCATACATAGGGACATAGACATAGCTCGTAGAGATGATGGCCGCTGGGGCAGGAAAGTTCTTGAGTGGCGACCACGAGCCGAAAGACGTAGTAGCGTGAGCAGGCCTCCCACTAGATGGACCGACTATCTGGTGAAGGTCGCGGGAGGTGCTTGGATGCGAGCGGCGCAGGGTCGGTTTTTGTGGAAATCCTAGGGGGACGCCTTTGTCCAGCAGTGGACGTCTTTCTGCTGAAACGAAGTCATCAGCTGCTACTATGACAGTATTGGCCTAATTTGATTGTATTATTGATCGCTCACAGGTGCGGCTCCCTCAAGAAACTGAACTTAAGTTGGAACAAGTTAATCACGTTGCCCGACGCGATCCACTTGCTGAGTGACTTGGAAAGTCTTCAGTTGCACGGCAACCCGGAGCTGGTGATGCCGCCGAAGCCGGTGGAGCGCGCGCGCGGCGCCGGCCTGCAGTACTACAACATCGACTTCTCGCTGCAGGCCCAGCTGCAGCTGGCGGGCGCGGCCACCGCCGAGCCCACCACTCCCAGCAGTGAGTAGCACAGGTTCAATGACCACAGGCGCCAGTGGCCGTGGCCTGAGAGACCACAGTTCCAAGCGACCTGAGAGCCTCTAGCTGCACGGCAACCCGGAGCTGGTGATGCCGCCGAAGCCGGTGGAGCGCGCGCGCGGCGCCGGCCTGCAGTACTACAACATCGACTTCTCGCTGCAGGCCCAGCTGCAGCTGGCGGGCGCGGCCACCGCCGAGCCCACCACTCCCAGCAGTGAGTAGCACAGGTTCAATGACCACAGGCGCCAGTGGCCGTGGCCTGAGAGACCACAGTTCCAAGCGACCTGAGAGCCTCTAGCTGCACGGCAACCCGGAGCTGGTGATGCCGCCGAAGCCGGTGGAGCGCGCGCGCGGCGCCGGCCTGCAGTACTACAACATCGACTTCTCGCTGCAGGCCCAGCTGCAGCTGGCGGGCGCGGCCACCGCCGAGCCCACCACTCCCAGCAGTGAGTAGCACAGGTTCAATGACCACAGGCGCCAGTGGCCGTGGCCTGAGAGACCACAGTTCCAAGCGACCTGAGAGCCTCTAGCTGCACGGCAACCCGGAGCTGGTGATGCCGCCGAAGCCGGTGGAGCGCGCGCGCGGCGCCGGCCTGCAGTACTACAACATCGACTTCTCGCTGCAGGCCCAGCTGCAGCTGGCGGGCGCGGCCACCGCCGAGCCCACCACTCCCAGCAGTGAGTAGCACAGGTTCAATGACCACAGGCGCCAGTGGCCGTGGCCTGAGAGACCACAGTTCCAAGCGACCTGAGAGCCTCTAGCTGCACGGCAACCCGGAGCTGGTGATGCCGCCGAAGCCGGTGGAGCGCGCGCGCGGCGCCGGCCTGCAGTACTACAACATCGACTTCTCGCTGCAGGCCCAGCTGCAGCTGGCGNCTGCAGCTCCAGTGAGCCGCAGCCGGTGATTCCGCCGAAGCCTGCAGTACTACAACATCGATTTCTCGCTGCAATGTCGGGCGCGGCTACCACCACTTCTAGCAGTAAAGTCCACGCAAGCAGACCACTTACCCACTAGTACTTAGCCATGAGTGGCTGTGGCCTACTAAGAGACCACAGTTCCAATCGACCCGAGAGCCTCCAGCTGCCAACCCGGAGCTGGTGATGCCTCTGAAGCCGGCCTGCAGTACTATAACATTAACTTCTCGCAGCCCACCACTCCCAGCAGTAAGTAACGCTCCCGCGGTCTTTGACTGCAGCTCCAGTGAGCCGCAGCCGGTGATTCCGCCGAAGCCTGCAGTACTACAACATCGATTTCTCGCTGCAATGTCGGGCGCGGCTACCACCACTTCTAGCAGTAAAGTCCACGCAAGCAGACCACTTACCCACTAGTACTTAGCCATGAGTGGCTGTGGCCTACTAAGAGACCACAGTTCCAATCGACCCGAGAGCCTCCAGCTGCCAACCCGGAGCTGGTGATGCCTCTGAAGCCGGCCTGCAGTACTATAACATTAACTTCTCGCAGCCCACCACTCCCAGCAGTAAGTAACGCTCCCGCGGTCTTTGACTGCAGCTCCAGTGAGCCGCAGCCGGTGATTCCGCCGAAGCCTGCAGTACTACAACATCGATTTCTCGCTGCAATGTCGGGCGCGGCTACCACCACTTCTAGCAGTAAAGTCCACGCAAGCAGACCACTTACCCACTAGTACTTAGCCATGAGTGGCTGTGGCCTACTAAGAGACCACAGTTCCAATCGACCCGAGAGCCTCCAGCTGCCAACCCGGAGCTGGTGATGCCTCTGAAGCCGGCCTGCAGTACTATAACATTAACTTCTCGCAGCCCACCACTCCCAGCAGTAAGTAACGCTCCCGCGGTCTTTGACTGCAGCTCCAGTGAGCCGCAGCCGGTGATTCCGCCGAAGCCTGCAGTACTACAACATCGATTTCTCGCTGCAATGTCGGGCGCGGCTACCACCACTTCTAGCAGTAAAGTCCACGCAAGCAGACCACTTACCCACTAGTACTTAGCCATGAGTGGCTGTGGCCTACTAAGAGACCACAGTTCCAATCGACCCGAGAGCCTCCAGCTGCCAACCCGGAGCTGGTGATGCCTCTGAAGCCGGCCTGCAGTACTATAACATTAACTTCTCGCAGCCCACCACTCCCAGCAGTAAGTAACGCTCCCGCGGTCTTTGACTGCAGCTCCAGTGAGCCGCAGCCGGTGATTCCGCCGAAGCCTGCAGTACTACAACATCGATTTCTCGCTGCAATGTCGGGCGCGGCTACCACCACTTCTAGCAGTAAAGTCCACGCAAGCAGACCACTTACCCACTAGTACTTAGCCATGAGTGGCTGTGGCCTACTAAGAGACCACAGTTCCAATCGACCCGAGAGCCTCCAGCTGCCAACCCGGAGCTGGTGATGCCTCTGAAGCCGGCCTGCAGTACTATAACATTAACTTCTCGCAGCCCACCACTCCCAGCAGTAAGTAACGCTCCCGCGGTCTTTGACTGCAGCTCCAGTGAGCCGCAGCCGGTGATTCCGCCGAAGCCTGCAGTACTACAACATCGATTTCTCGCTGCAATGTCGGGCGCGGCTACCACCACTTCTAGCAGTAAAGTCCACGCAAGCAGACCACTTACCCACTAGTACTTAGCCATGAGTGGCTGTGGCCTACTAAGAGACCACAGTTCCAATCGACCCGAGAGCCTCCAGCTGCCAACCCGGAGCTGGTGATGCCTCTGAAGCCGGCCTGCAGTACTATAACATTAACTTCTCGCAGCCCACCACTCCCAGCAGTAAGTAACGCTCCCGCGGTCTTTGACTGCAGCTCCAGTGAGCCGCAGCCGGTGATTCCGCCGAAGCCTGCAGTACTACAACATCGATTTCTCGCTGCAATNTGCACGGCAACCCGGAGCTGGTGATGCCGCCGAAGCCGGTGGAGCGCGCGCGCGGCGCCGGCCTGCAGTACTACAACATCGACTTCTCGCTGCAGGCCCAGCTGCAGCTGGCGGGCGCGGCCACCGCCGAGCCCACCACTCCCAGCAGTGAGTAGCACAGGATCAATGACCACAGCCGCCAGTGGCCGTGGCCTAAGAGACCTCACTCCTGAGCGACTTGGAAAGTCTCCAGCTGCACGGCAACCCGGAGCTGGTAATGCATCCGAAGCCTTTCTGCGGTACTATAACATTGACTTCTCGCAGCCCACCACTCCCAGCAGTAGTAACGCACCCGTAGTTTTGCAGCTTGCAGCTCTAGCGACCCGCAGCCGGTGATTCCGCCGAAGTCTGCAGTACTACAACATCGACTTCTAGCTGGCGGGCGCGGCCACCGCCGCCACTCCCAGCAGTGAGTAGCACAGGTTCAACGACCACAGCCGTCAGTGGCCGTGCCCTGAGGGACCACACTTCTGAGCAACCTGAAAGCCTCTAACTCCATGGAAACCCGGAACTGGTGATGCATCCGAAGCCTTTCTGCAGTACTATAACATTGACTTCTCGCAGCCCACCACTCCCAGCAGTAGTAACGCTCCCGCGGTCTTAGGCTGCAGCTCCAGTGAGCCGCAGCCGGTGATTCCGCCGAAGCCTGCAGTACTACAACATCGATTTCTCGCTGCAATGTCGGGCGCGGCTACCACCACTTCTAGCAGTAAAGTCCACGCAAGCAGACCACTTACCCACTAGTACTTAGCCATGAGTGGCTGTGGCCTACTAAGAGACCACAGTTCCAATCGACCCGAGAGCCTCCAGCTGCCAACCCGGAGCTGGTGATGCCTCTGAAGCCGGCCTGCAGTACTATAACATTAACTTCTCGCAGCCCACCACTCCCAGCAGTAAGTAACGCTCCCGCGGTCTTTGACTGCAGCTCCAGTGAGCCGCAGCCGGTGATTCCGCCGAAGCCTGCAGTACTACAACATCGATTTCTCGCTGCAATGTCGGGCGCGGCTACCACCACTTCTAGCAGTAAAGTCCACGCAAGCAGACCACTTACCCACTAGTACTTAGCCATGAGTGGTCGTGGCCTACTAAGCGACCACAGTTCCAAGCAACCTGAGAGCCTCCAGCTTCACGGCAACTCGGAGCTGGTGATGCCTTCGAAGCCGGCCTGCAGTACTACAACATCGACTTCTCGCTGCAGGCCCAGCTGCAGCTGGCGGTAAGTCATTTAAACAGCTTGTACCCAGCCTCCAGTGTCGCTGGTGGTCTGTGGCCCGTTTTCGCGGAGCCTAAGTGACCACAAACGCGGTGAGGAAGACGGAGGACTAAAGTATGCATCGTGCGGTCCACACAGCTTATGACCGCAGTCTATGGCGGAGCGCTGTATGTGGTCGCGATCCTCATCAGAGAAGGACTGAGGAAGAAGAAGTGACCTTGTGGTCACTCCAGCACGGGGTTGTCCCCGAGCGACCTGAGAGTCCGGAGCTGGAAGCTCCAACGGCAACCCAGAAATGATGATGCCGCATGAAGTACGTAGTATACATGTCATACAGAGCCACACATTTCATAGTTCTATTATACATATTATTAAATTTTGTGTGAGTGAGGCTATTCATTCTTCATTGTTCCAGGTGTAAAATCAGACCCGATCGCCCGCAAGCTACGCCTCCGCCGCGGGCGAGCGGAGCCCGAGCAGCGCGACTCGGCGCTGATCCTGCGCGGCATGCAGGAGCAGGCCAACACGCAGCACGGCGACGAGCGCCTGGACCAGAGGAACAGCGAGCTCAAGTGAGTGTCGCAGCTGTGACGTCAGAGCCGACAGCCCGCGAGGCCGGCCGGAGCCCGAGCAGCAGGTGTGACGTCAGAGCTGATAACCACCAGCAGGTCTTTTAGTCTCCACTGCTAAGGAGCACGATCCACTCTAATGGTAATCCTCTCGGGAAAATTTACACTTCGTCTATGGGGAACGATTGCGGTTTCTGCTGCCATCCCGATATGCTGGGATTCAACTGACCATATAAGGCAATAGTCGACACCACGAACGAAACCATTGCCGTCTAATGGTGGTGATGGCCTATGCATCATAGGCGGAGAAGCCCTCTCACCTCCAGTCCTCTGATCACCAGAGATTAAGCGAACGGCAATAAAACCACCTGGACACTCCTATCCTCCGTTGCAAGGCGTGGTGTGTCATTATCTCACTAACTTCCGCTACACCGCAGATATTGTAACAGGTCAAATGTTTCACCTGATGTTATGTTGGCCGTGTTAATTCGATCCAATTCCTGTAGCAGGTAATATTTTATAAGAACCCATTGAGAGGTAGCTGTCTGTCATTCATCAGTCAGTGAATGTTACATTCTTGATATTGTTTTCTAAACATAAATCTTATTTGTAAATAATATTCACAAACAATGAAACCGCTAAAAATTCTCAAAGAGAGATCAGAAGTTCACAGTAGAAGCATCAGAATTGGTGTGTACAAAGTTTCGTGTTTTATTAGAGTATGGTATGGTGCATGTGGGAAGAGCCTGGATGCGGGCAGCGCAGGACCGTGCATTGTGGAAAGCCTTGGAGGAGGCCTTTGTCCAGCAGTGGACGTCATTTGGCTGAAACGAACGAACGATGGTGCATGTAACTTTCTGACATCTCAGGTTAAAGACATTTCGACGGGCTTACCAAATGTCTCTGTTGCTCAGCGGTTAGAGCAATTTCCCGGTAAGCGAAATGTCTAAAAAGAATATTCCCACCTCTCTTTCCCACCGCTGCAAATCCTGTGTAGCTAGGATTTACAGCTTTAAAACCAATAAAAAACCCTAACCAGACAACCAGTGAAAGTCAAGTTTGACAAGCGAAAGATCTGACGCAAATCGTAGTTTAATTACTTGTTTGTATTAATATTATAAAGAGCTGTGGTTTTCTGAATAAAGAAAAATAAAATACTCAGTTCACGTGTTTGTCGTAGGCCGAAGCGCTGGGACGAAACGCTGGAGAAACCTCCGCTGGACTACTCGGAGTTTTTCGACGAGGACACCGGCCAGACGCCTGGTCTCCAGGTCTGGGAGATCGAGAACTTCATCCCGGCGCCCGTGGATGAGGTAAAGTTGACATTCACCTTTTTTTTACTCTCAATAAATATCTTGTACCTTATCTCATAAACCTCAAATGATATTTTACTGTATAAATACATAATATATCCTTACATAAAAAAATAGAAAATAAATCGCAACGAGAGATGGTGTGACGTCTTGCGTAGTTTTACTTATCAGATTCTGTCTCGCTTGCAAACATTTAGCAAGACCAAGGTAGCTTCAGTTAAATTCATTCTAGTGACTACTCTTAAATCCGAGAGGATTCCAGATCCATATCGGTCGAACCATTGTTAAGTGATGTGTCCGTCACCATGTGGAATTACTTTTAATTCCAACTAAGTAAGTAATCAAAAGTAAAATATTTTCATTTTTATTACAGGTAGCGCATGGAAAGTTCTTCGAGGGCGATTGTTACATCATCCTGAAGACTGCGATCGAAGAGCAAGGACAGTTATCTTGGGACATTCACTTCTGGATCGGCTCAAAAGCCACCGTAAGTATTTGCAAAGGGTTTATTTAAACAAGGCGGTGTATCGATATGTGGACTTTGGTTTGAATAAGGAAGAACAGAGCTTCTTGTCACTGTTATGCGTAATGTAACAATTTGTAACATAACAACTGTTTTATAATTTTACTGTAGACTTCTCAAACGATTCTCAAACCCTTCTTTAAAATCAAGCATATAATTTATTCATGTCGATTTTTAGTTGTAAACAAATCACAGTCTTGATATATTCTTGATTGTCGTTTTAGAATAGGCGCACACCGTTGATTTTTAGTTGGCCGATAGTTGCGCCCGATTTTAAATTGTATGAAGAATCGGCCAAATCGAATCGGCGTAGTGTGCGCACTCCCATACATGCCCATACTGATCAACTGCCCGACTAAACTATCGGCCGACGAAAAATCAACGGTGTGCGCCTACTCTTAAAGTGCGAGCAGAAACTGATTATCACTGATCACCGATCTTGATTGTGTATATTTATTGTTCGCAGCTGGACAAAGGCGCGTGCGCAGCTATGCACGCCGTGAACCTCCGTAACCTCCTGGGCGCCAAGCGGACACAGCGCCACGAGCAAGGCGACGAGACGCCCGAGTTCCTGGCGCTGTTTCCCGCGCCGCCCGTCTATATCCAGGGCAGCCATACGCCTTCTGGCTTCTTCACCGTAGATGACCCGGTCAGTGGCATGCTGTTCTTTTAGCCCAACGACTTGCTGTCTCCCATTCTCCTGCGGCGAGTCCTGGCGCGGTTCGTCGCCCGTCTATGGCATATAGGCACCCACACGCCTTCTGGCTTCTTCACCGTCGACGACCCGGTAAGTAGCTCTATCCCTCTCTCCCTTGCAGCCAGGCGACGTGCCGTCTCCCTCTCTCCTGCCACAAGACGCCCGAGTTCCTGGCGCTGTTCCCCGCGCCGCCCGTCTATATCCAGGGCAGCCATACGCCTTCTGGCTTCTTCACCGTTGATGACCCGGTCAGTGGCATGCTGTCTCTTTCAGCCCCTGCAGCCATGTGACGTGCCGTCTTCCTCTCTCCTGGGACGAGACGCCCGTCTACATCCAAGGCAGCCACACGCCTTCTGGCTTCTTCACCGTTGATGACCCGGTCAGTGGCATGCTGTCTCTTTCCTCCCAGCAGCCAGGTGACGTGCCGTCTCCCATTCTCCTGCGGCGAGTCCTGGCGCTGTTCGTCGCCCGTCTATACATCCAGGGCAGCCATACGCCTTCTGGCTTCTTCACTGTGGACGACCCGGTCAGTAGCGCTCTATCAAACAGCCAGAGCGCTCTATCCTGTTCTATCCATCCTAGCGACGAGTCCTGGCGCTGTTCGTCGCCCGTCTATATCCAGGGCAGCCACACGCCTTCTTGCTTCTTCACCGTCGACGACCCGGTCAGTGGCATGCTGTCTCTTTCAGCCCCTACAGCCATGTGACGTGCCGTCTCCCTCTCTCCTGCGACGAGACGCCCGTCTACATCCAAGGCAGCCACACGCCTTCTGGCTTCTTCACCGTGGACGACCCGGTCAGTAGCGCGCTGTCTCTTTCCTCCCAGCAGCCAGGTGACGTGCCGTCTCCCATTCTCCTGCGGCGAGTACTGGCGCTGTTCGTCGCCCGTCTATACCCAGGGCAGCCATACGCCTTCTGGCTTCTTCACTGTGGACGACCCGGTCAGTAGCGCTCTATCAAACAGCCAGAGCGCTCTATCCTGTTCTATCCATCCTAGCGACGAGTCCTGGCGCTGTTCGTCGCCCGTCTATATCCAGGGCAGCCACACGCCTTCTGGCTTCTTCACCGTCGACGACCCGGTCAGTAGCGCGCTGTCTCTTTCCTCCCCTGCAGCCAGTAGACACACTGTCTCCCTCTATCCTGCGACGAGTCCTGGCGCTGTTCGTCGCCCGTCTATATCCAGGGCAGCCATACGCCTTCTAGCTTCTTCACCGTCGACGACCCGGTTAGTAGCGCGCTGTCTCTTTCCTCCCCTGCAGCCAGGCGACGTGCTGTCTCCCTCTCTCCTGCGCCGCCCGTACATGCAATGTATCTACACTAATATCCAATCTTGCGTGATAACCTATTGATAAAACTATCGCTTAGTGCGTCATCCCTAACGTCATTCCCGTTGCGTGTTACAGCACTACGTGACGCGGCTGTACCGCGTGCACGCGGCGGGGCACAGCATACACCTGGAGCCGGTGGCGGTGCGCTACGACTCGCTCGACCCGCGCCTCGTGTTCGTGCTGGACGCCGGCCTCACTATCTACTTGTGGTGAGTGTCGCAGCACTAGTGACTGTACCACCACAGAATAATAATAAGTACTACGTACAGAAGTTTTAATTCGCGAAGGTATTTAAAAAAATATATGCTCAATGTCATTAACAATATGGTGTAATTTAGCCTGTCTCAAGAGTCAAGCACCATTTTGTTGACAAACGTCAGTGATCGGCACTGCGCCGAAGCTATAGGGCTGACTTCGGTAAAATGATGTGACGTGAGGTGCCAAACTGCGGAAAATGGCGGACATGATTTAGCATGAATTTTCATGAATAATATTAACTACTTATTTACCTCTCAGTGTCTTGAGGCAACTTAAACGAGTACATTCTGTGTTTTTATTATTATTTAGGCAGTTAAATACTGCACAGTATTTAGTACACCATTTTCTTCATTTTCTTCCATCATACACAAGAATACGCGTGCGTGAGTCAATGTTCGCTCGTATGTGAGGCCTTGTCGAATAGTATCCTGTAGGTGGGCCATCGTGCGTGTTTTGTTTTCGATGTAAACTCGCGGAGATGAACAGGCCTGGTACCACTGTAAACGCTAAAAGTCAGCGCACACAAAGACGGGTAAGGCGATCCAGCGCAAAGCGGTGGATGCGTATCGCGATGGGAGGTATCCGCTTTCTATGTACCTAACTGATTTTATACAAACTATAACATTACAAAAAATATCGTTCCGGTTCGTGACCGCTGTGTGCGCTGACCTTAACGTGCACGTTGTCGTGCGCATCCAGTAACTTATTTGCGCGTTACACATTGTGCGTTGTGCGTTGCCACGTAATATTTTTTCGTAGCATTAATTTTAACTGCTATCATATTATTATTAAATCTTCTAGGAACGGCAAGAAAGCCAAAAACACGTTGAAATCCAAAGCTCGCCTGTTCGCCGAGAAGATCAACAAAGAAGAGCGCAAGAACAAGGCTGAGCTGGTGGCCGAGCCGCCCGGGAAGGAACCCGCGGCTTTCTGGAAGCTGCTCGAGTACGACGGCGACACGCCCTACGTGCCCGAGGTAAGCTGTACTGTATATAAAATGTCAACGTGAAATTGTGAACTCTGTCTGTGTGTTTATAATATAACGCGTTTGATTGTAAACAAACAGTGGGTTAGGTTAGGTTAGATTGTAATTTAACTACGTCAGATTATAATCAGACGGAATTCACAATTTTACGGTGACATACACTGCAATGTTAGTCATCATCATGTCATTTAGTCTCCATTACAGGAAGAGAGATTTTTTGGAAGACGTAGCGTGGGCAGGCTTCCTACTAAGTGGACCGACCATCTGGTAAAGGTCACGGGAAGAACCAGTATGCGGGCAATGGAAAAATTGGGAGAGGCCTTTGTCCAGCAGTGGACGTCATTTGGCTGAAACGACGACGATTGGAAAAGAACGACTCTCTATAATTAACCCAAGCAAAAGAGAGGATTTAGCCTAGCCGGGTTGGGAAGTATTTCTCCTTCACTCGTCTCTCACGACATTCGTGAGAAGAATAAAGATGGTCCTATTTTACACTGCCAAATCCACACGGCTAAGGTACAGGCGACAGCACATCAGACTACCCATTTTAGTTGAAAATTCGCTCTTATTACAGCTGCATAAAATCCCAGTGACTACCTTAACGTGCTGTTATCTGTACGTATGCAAACAACACAATATCACTTACCCGATACCTACTACGCAACTGCAACTAAAGCGACTGTGCGACGCGCGCCCGCAGTGAGTGTGCGAGCGCGACAGCAACATAATTACGCGCGAGCAATAAGAATGGGTAGCTTGGGGTCATTGGACAAAATTCTACGTGCTCACGGACCAGGCTTTAGTGACAACACTATACGGTACAAACCGTAAACCGCCGTACATACACAAAGTCAGATTTCTTATATTCGCAGGAGCACGTGCCGAACGACTTTGCGTGGGCGAGCCCGCGTCTATACCGTGTGGAATTAGGGATGGGCTACTTAGAGCTGCCGCAGCCCGAGGCATGTGCCTTAGCACGCGGCGTTCTAGCCACGCGCAACGTTTACATACTGGACGCGCACGTCGACTTGTTCGTGTGGTGAGTGCATAAAAAATCATAAAAGTTGTTATTTTATTAAAATAGACTCTTTAAAAGCGCTTTTACATATCCCAATATTACTTACATGTTACACCCTACCACTGCTTTGGGACAATAAATGGGCCAGTTCTGAGAAGCAGCAAGAAACTCAGTAACCTTTGTCAGACTCCAAACAGAAACTAAACTAGAAACAATTACCTAAAAAAAAGTCTCTACTTAGAGTTTAGACCAAGATAGCGATCCCGCTGACCCGTCAGCTATTCCTTCTTAGATTCAAACAGAAAGAAATGCCTGAACAAACGTAGCTTTTTTTTCACACAGTGGCAGCTAGCCCCAAAGTAAACAATTGAATCTAGGTCAAAGATTCAGTCTTGTGATTTGTCTAAATATTCAAATCAGAAGCCGTTATTTATGTTTGAGCCGTCGAATAAAAAAAACTCATAGGGGAGAGTTCGGTATATTGTACCGCCGGGTAAATTGTACCACCCTCATATCTCGTAAAATATTTATTGAATGTCTGTAATTGCAACACTCAGCGATACACAACTAAAATCAATTAATATCGGCCATGTGGTTTTTGCCGTGACAACAAACACGTGTGTTTTATTTTGAAAAGTATTTTTTCATTGTTTTCAAGTAACTTTTGACAATACATGTTTAGTTTGTAATTTTGTTAAATTTAATCACAGGGTGTTTCTAATATATTATTTAGAAGCGTAAATTAGTGTGGATTACAATTATTTGAAACATTTTTCGGTATTTATAAGCTATATTTTTTACCGATTTTTTAAAAGCACTATCACCTAGTCGGCTAAATTGGGTGGCCATCGTCAACATCCTCCCCCCTAGTGTCGCTTTGCGACACTCATAACCAAGGTTAAAACTACGCGCGTCACTCACTGGTCACTTCTTCGCAGCCATAGCTGTTGGTCCCAGACCTTAGTTCCAGTTGGCTCAAGCACGGTTAGCGTTGCGCGGTTCCAACAAGTTTCCAATATGTAGGTATTGGGATAGGACGATGTCGTANTTTTTCATACTTATTAGAATTAGATTTTAAATATGTTTCTTCGCGAAAATACCACAATAAAAAATAACACCTGTAACGCCCCTGGGTCTGCGGGTGTCTATGGGTGACGGTAATCATTTACCAACAGGTGATCCGTTTGCTCATTTGCCTCCTGTCACATTAAAAAAAAATAAGATAAAGTGGTATTGAATTGTTCTATAGAGCTTGTAGACGATGGGTGAACGTAGGTGATGAATGAAATGAAAGTCCAGGTAGGTACGTTGAAAATGAAGGCGCGTCCGGGTGTGCGCACTAGTACGTTCGCAGAGGGTGAGAGTTCGACGACGACTGGCGGCTCTCGGTCGGCCGCGTGTGCGGCGCGTGGCGGCGCGGTGAGCCGCTAGAAGCTTCTCACCATAAAAGGCGAGAGCGCGCACCCAGATTCGCTTACTTATTTAATGTTCCAAAATCACATACAGTGTAAGTTATGTGGTCGGCTTACAGTTTACATATTATTACTACGATGTAAATATACTCATAGCTTAAACATAGATACATTTCAGGCTATACAAACAAAATGCAAGGTAAGTCACAGGACTTCGGTAAGTTTAGTAGGTTAATAATAATAAGTAGATTAGTTTGTAATTTTCAGGTATACAAAATACGAAGTTATAGCTTAAGTACCTACTTCTGGTGGCCATCGTCAACAGAGCTTATTTAAAATTTGGATACTGATTACAAAATTAGCCATTTTCGGAGTCGGTGTCGGTGTCCTACCTTTTGGTGATTCGTTTTGGAGTTGGTTTTAATTTTTAGTGAAATTAATCTATTTCATGCCTTTAGTAGACTATAGGTACCCAGTAGACCTTGTTGTTGTTGTTGCCACTGANTCCTCCCCCCTAGTGTCGCTTTGCGACACTCATAACCAAGATTAAAACTACGCGCGTCACTCACTGGTCACTTCATCACACCCGTTGTTGGTCCCAGACCATAGTGCCAGTTGCCTCAAGCGCGGCTTAGCCAAACGTCGCGCGGTTCTAACAAAGTTTCCATAAGTAGGTAGGTATTAGGATAGGACGAATGTCTTAAAAACGCGGTAACATGTAAACAAATACAATAACATCTAAATTAGCACGCAGTAAACGTGACAAAATATTTTTTTCATTAAATTAAAACTTATACAAAATAATCATAATAACCTAGTCATAGATAGAACAAAATAAGAGTCCGGCAAGTTAGTGACGTCATGCGTCCACGGCAAACCCTCGGTCCAAAGACCGTCAACAAGTTTACCTAAACTTTCTAAAATATTAATCACTCAAGTAAATCATCTTTATATTTACACTGTTTAACTATTCCTATCGATTCCAATGAGACATAATTTCTAACTAACTCATGCAACTGAAGCAAGTCATGTACATGTCGATCATGTTTTAAACAATCAACAAATCTATTATTACTACATTTGACAGTGTCAAATGTTCGCGGCAACGATTCTCCGTTCGTACATTTCGTAACTAAACAAGTTGATAAGTTCTCTACTACATTGCCTAAAATCTCGTCGTCGCAAGTAAGATCGAGCGCGCGCGCCACCGTAGGTATGTAAGCGGCGTCCGCAGACGCGTGGGGCCCGAGTGGGGGCGGCTCGTACACACCGAGTGCGAGTGAGGCCGCGCTATCGGCCAGCGCGTTGCTATGCGCGCGGGGCGCGACTGGGGGCTGCTCGCACGCAACGAGTGCGAGCGGGACCGCGATACCGGCCAGCGCGTCGGTATTATTACAACAGGCGGCGGCGACGGTTTGAGTTGGTTCACAGGATTCAACAAAACACAAGTTTGTGGTAAAGCAAACAGATGAATCAATTACCTTGTTTGTTGTCCCGTGCACGCACCATCCTAGGCACGTCTTTGTCATGTATGGCTCACCTGGATTTCCCCTTATGCACTCAATAGGAGCGATTAAGTCGCAATTGTCTTGCCCGATTAGTAACATAGGCTGGGCATTACACTTACACAAATCAATATTTACACATTCATATTTACAAAAATCAACATTAACTACACTTTGCATTGGTAAATTGAGTTGGGAAATCTTTTTAGCTTGTAAACTGAAACGCTTATTGTCTCTATTCGCTATTTCAAAGTTCACTATCTCTGTTTCACACGATAGTTCATTGTCCCATGCACCACGAGCGCGCATGGTATGAGGTACTCCTTGCAGTCCAACCTCATCCGCGAGTCGCGACGCGATTAACGACACGGTCGAACCGTCGTCTAGCAAGGCGTGCGTGTGCACACTGCCCTTCGGACCGAACACTGTAACCGGCACTATTTTCAGTAGTACTTGGGACTCGTTGTTGCACTGAAGCGCGGTGGTATGGTTTACGGTTTCGCAGTCACTCTCACTGAGACGCTGTTCGTCGCGTTCTGATGCCGTCTGCAGCTGGGGTCGCGGGTTCGACCAATGAAGAAGGCGATGGTGGCCGAGTCCGCAACCGTCGACGTCACACTCGGGGGCTGTGCACGTAGTATCGGCGTGTCGTGGTAGTAGGCATTGAAAACACAGTTTTTCTGTACGTGCGAAGCGCCAGCGATCCTTGCGTAGGGCTCGCTTGAACTTTAGGCATTGTTCAAGTGAGTGTGTTTGTGTTTTACAAAAGTTACACTTGTCGTTGTGGTCGTAGTTGGTAGACACGAGTATATTTTTGTGTGAGCTTCTGATGTACTCTGGCTTACGTCTGGGCTCCGAATGGTTGTTGTGTACGAAGCTAACACCGGCCGCGGCTACTTTCTGTGCTTCTAGGTATAGAAAGTCTGATAAGCACTCTAACTTAGGTTTCTCGTGTAACTCGCGGTTGGTGTATGCGTAGTCAGCCCACTTGGTCACGAGTAGTGTAGGTAACTTTGACACGATGATGTTTACGAGTTCGGGGCTCTGTAGGTACTCGCGTTGCTTTATCGCTCGGGCGGCTGCTACGTGGTTTTTGATGGTTATTGCGAACTGCACCAATTCAGTGTGGTAACTTTCAGCTAGTGGTTTTACTTTCTTCAACTGTGACACAATTTTGTTTATTATAATTTCGGGTCGGCCAAACCGAAGCTCTAACATGTCGATTATCTCGTTAGGTGACGTGCAATCGATGAGTAGCGAAGATACTGCGTCTTTAGCTTCGCCTCGTAGGCATTTACGAAGGCGCCACATGTTCTCGGTGTCGGTGTATTTACAGATCTCGGTGGACTCGAAGTAGGCATTCCGGAACTGTAACCAGTCGAGGGGGTCACCGTAGTAAATTGGCAAGTCTTTGGAGGTGGCCAATCTCGACAACAGTTGGTCGTTTTGATTAATTGCAGCGGCGTTGGAGATCGCAACTGTGAGTGCAGCCGCCAGCTCTTGAATTTCAGTACGCTGCTGGGGCGCGGTGTAAGTGACTTTCTCCTCCCGATGTGTCGTTGCAATGTGGGATGTGTCAATCCAGGCCTCAACTTTCTCCGACGATGATATCACAGACCTCTCCGAGCCGAGCTCGGCAAGGTCGGCGTTCAGCTCAATGTCAATCAGAGACTTACGGATCGCCGCCTTCTTCGCGGCGGCTTCCGCGGCGGCTTGTGCGGCTGCTTCTGCGGCTTCGATCGCTTCGATCTCAATTTCCGCCCTCTTACGTGCAGCTTCAATAGTGAGTCGCCGTGCTGCAGACGATGTGCGCGTGGACGGGCTGCCCNCGCGGCTTAGCCAAGCCAAGCGTCGCGCGGTTCTAACAGTTTCCATAAGTAGGTAGGTATTAGGATAGGACGATGTCTTAAAAACGCGGTAACATGTAAACAAATACAATAACATCTAAATTAGCACGCAGTAAACGTGACACAATAATTTTTTCATTAAATTAAAACTTATACAAAATAATCATAATAACCTAGTCAATAAGATAGATAGAACAAAATAAGAGTCCGGCAAGTTAGTGACGTCATGCGTCCACGGCAAGNCGGATCACTGTGTTCACA